ATGAGAAGTGGTCATTATCCATTATCTGCATGAAATATTTCAGAAAAAAGAAATGATTGAAACTAATGTAATCAAAGATGCTAAACCAAGTGACAGAGAACCTGAGAAGGAACCAAAGAATAATGGAAAAAAAGCAGAAGAGCCTCAAACCAAATCTGAAACCACTGTAAAATGTGTGGAAGCTGAAGTTTAAGACAGTGAATGCTATAGCAAGTTTGATCGTTTTAAAATTTAAAAAAGGAGAAACTATTAAATCCTTTTTAAGTGGAAGACTATCAATGCTGGGAAAGTTGAGTGCATATTTCTTGTACATACATTTGAATGGTCAGAATTGTATACCTAATTACCTTTGTTCTTTGCTAGAAAATGTTCTTTTGCAGGATCACAGAGCCTTACTGGCATGAATACAAAAAAATAAAACCACCATATTGCAACACAGCATTTGCCATCTTAACATGAAATAACTAGGTCTAAGAATGCTCTATTGAATGTGATACAGTGTATAATTGTTTCCCTAGAACTCAGAGGAACACATCTATAATAGACAATTCTTTTTATCCTTTTGGCTGTTGTCAGCTAATGCAGTAAGATCCAAAATTAAGATCTGATACTGCAGCCTTTATTCATGAGGTAATTCTTATTCCTATTAAGTAGTCTCATTGTTTTCAAAGGGACAAGCTCATACTAATAGGGATTAGTCAAACAAGTAAAGGTTGCAGGATTATCTCCTTACATTTTAAAGTTCCCAAATAAGGGTGCTTTTAATCGTCTTTGTAGTAAACCAATATATTTATACTGAGTATAACGTAATCCACAATGAAGTGTTTGTCCTGGAAATATTCTCTATCAGTATTTTACAACTGTATTTATTTTTTTTTAAATTACATCATTCTTCTTTAAGCAAGTGACAGGAAAAAAACCCTTCAAAACTGTATCACAATCATTGTCATAAAGGTCTCTGATGCATATTTATATTTGCTTTGACAAGAAAAGTATCCCAAGTGGGAGGGAAGTTTACAGCATTACATAAGAAAATGAAGTATAGTAAATATATATTTATTGGTTATGACTATTTCATTTTTATTCACTTGAAAACTACCTTGTAAGACCAAACATATAGTTGATATAACTTCAATATTAAACTTGTAAAGATTGATTTATATAACAGTAATATTAATAACAGTAATAATATCAATGTTAACAAACACTATGGATAACAATTATCTCCATTAGGCCTCTTTTGAGAGTCTTCAAAATACCCTAACTTATACAAGTCATTTTGAATAGAATTCCTATAACTATTACCCAAATAAGAGATCCATTCCCTGAAAGGAAACATTAGTCCTCTGGCTATTACCAGAATGAAAAAAAGGTTACAAAATTAATTAGTTCACATTCTGGTATCAGTGCACACTTATAAAAAGGGAAGAAAGGAAGGTACTGACACCCTAGGAGAGCCAATGCTTCCTACCACTTCTTTCCCCATTTTAGGGGCAGAAGGTTGTGCCACAGGCTTCAGAGGGTAGGAGAAATGTACTGCTTTTGTGGTCAAAACAGCATAAAAAAAGAAAGCTGTGGCTAAGTCCTCAGGAGGCAGAGAAAAAAATATTGAACACACAACTGCAGAAAAACAGGAAGTGCCCTGTAAAATTTGTGATATGCCAGAGTCTACAACACAGAGTCCATGATACAGCTTAACCATCAGGCCTACAAGTCAGGAATGCATACCAATCAACAAGGAACAACACAAAAATAATTTTGCAGTCAAAAGTGAAATGAACCTATTCTCAACCTTTTTAGACTCAAGGTGCTTGAGAACTTTTCTGAATTTAGCAGCAGTCCATTCAAAAAATAACTATGGAAAATAATAAAGCAGTGGTCACCAACCAGTTGATCACGATCAACTGGTAAATCAGGGAGCCTCTGACAGTCGATCTCCCCCAGACTGAAATCATTTGACAGAGGCTCTACAATTGGGAGTGGTGGGACACACATGGGGAGCCGCAGGAAACAAGTTGCTGGGCTGAGCTGTGCCCCTTGCCACTGGTGAGTGGGGCCTCAGCTAGGCCACGCCGGGCCAGGGGAGGGTCAGTTCCCAGGCGGCTCGTCCAGGCACCCAAGGGGGCTCCTGCCACTGTGCCCAACCCAGGCCAGGAGTGCTGCACCATGCTGCACCTTTGTGGGTGGCAGCGCTGGGAGGGCTTTGGGAGCTATAGCCCCAAAAATTCATCTTTGCCCCCACGCAGACACCCCTCCCAGTGCTGCTGCCCACCTGCAGAGACACGGCACTCCCAGCCCGGCCTTCTGCATCTGCATGACTGCACGGGACAGCCGGGCAGCAGCTCCCTGCAGGTAAGTGTAATAGGGTCAAGCAGGGAGTGAGACTGAACCATGGGCAGCTAGCAACGGGGGAAAGGGGGCCAGAGGGCTGCCTCCATGTGATCGACGGTTGGGGAGGGTGGAGGTCCTGTGATGGTAAAGTGTCTGTGTCTGTGTGCGTGTGTGTGTCTGTCTGTCTGTCTGTGTGTGATCCTGGATTGCCCTTTCCTTCCAAAAGTGATCTTCACCTTAAAAAGATTGGAGTCCACTCTAATAGAGGATCATCACTTCAAAAAAATAACAGAGCAATTCCTTTTTTGCAAAGAACCCAGAAAGATCACAGCAGGTCAGAACTACGGATTCCTATGGGTTGACACTATGGATTCCTATTTGAAATCTCTGGGTTTCTCTTGTGAATCATGTGTAGGGATTTCCACACCTAAGTGTTAATATTGTGAAGCATGCCAGAGCGCCCTTAATAGGATGACACAGCACCTCAGCTGCCCTGTTCTGCTCTCCCCAGCTGCACCTCCCTGGCTCCCTTCCTACTACACTGCCCTGCCTCCAGGAGCAGGGCAGGAAACAGAAGCTGGAAGACAGAGGGGGAGCCCAGAGCCCCTGGCTGCCATAGCAGCTCGAGCAACGGGAGGAGTGGTGGCCATGTGGGAGCCCATGCAACCTGTGGTTGCCAGTTGGACACCCCTGTCCTAGACCACAAAAAAAAGTTCTGTTTTACGTTATGTGAAATACACCTAGAAATGATTCTTGGCTGTAGACAAAACACACTGAGCGCAAGTGGTCCCTCTGCATTTTCTTTATCTTGGTTCTGCTGTGTGCATGGCACTTCTGGGCTTATTAGAATAGCTAAAGAGTTGCTTCCACTTACCTGGGTCTGCAATGACTGCAAATATTTTAAGAGAAAGATTATTCCAGCATTGCAGAATAGAGACAGCAATGTATCAAAGGAGGTAGCTCACTCCTCTCTGGACAGTGAGAGACTTACTCTGTTAAGACAACAGAGGTAGAAACACTATGTGCCATCTCCAAGTTGCATAAATATGATATAAAAATATAATAAAATAAGCAAAATATCATTGTTGAAATTAGGACAAGTTATGTCCCACTACAAAGAAAACAGGAAAAGGATTCATGAGATCAGGATGTAAAGACAGTCTCAGAAGCCAAACCCTCAACTGATGGTTTCAGTGATAAAAAGATATACCATAAACTGTTGCTAGGCCTCTGCCTTTTAGATCTTTTATAATGACTTTACCATCAACAAACAATTTCAGTTCTTCAGTAGGTACTAGTGAAACAACTGTGAAAAAGGCTTCTTACAGGGCAGTAAGTTCTTGTAGTAAACAGCAATTGCAACTTTCTATTACTTTAAGCTGAAATCAGATCTAAACATGTCCATTAGGTGCTGGAAGTCAAATTTTATTTTAAAAACATTTACAAAGATTTATATATATATTTTAATTTTTCCTTAGTCATGCTGGTTTTGTGGGCCCTCTAATATGAAATTAATCTAAAACAGGGCTGTCCAACAGGTGACCTACAGCAACAGGGGTCTCTAATCTCCCCCTCCCTTCTTCAGGTTTCATTTCCTGCTCCCACTCCATGGAAACCAGCAACAGGGTACAGTGGTGGCGGGATACCACCCACTTAGGCAGTGCAGTGGCCATTTGCATATGTGATGCAGCGGTGGGTGGAGTGGGAGCTACATGTGAAATGCAGGTAGGAAGGTACAATTCAGGGCCCATGGCTTGCCTTAGTGCAGTCCCTGAAGTACATACCCCAAATGGTTCAGCCCCCAGCCACTTAGAAGATGGACATCCCTGATTTAAGGAAATGATACAAGATGCAGTATCCAAACAGCTTCAGGTAAATACAAAAAGGGAATAACCTACCATTTGTTGAAGGCACACATATGATCCTTGAAACTTTTCTAATGTGAAAAATTCTTACGTATGAAAATAAACTTCTGTAAGAAATACTGAGGTGAGTAAACATTTGAAGGATCTGGTCATCAGAAAATTTTTTAAAAATGAATTGTGTTATGATTGCCTGTGTTACCACTGATGTCACAATTCTACCACTCAACCATGAGCTGAAGCAGTCTCAAAATCAAGATGCGGTACAATCTTAACTTAGAAGTTCCTCCTGTACCAGATTTCTAAAAACAGTAGCTTTCAAGATTTCATTGGATGATAGGTGCCTTATCCTTAATATGCTCCCTTCCAGCTCCTAACATCCATGAATAATGCTGAAGCTCTAGGAAGAACTACAAGGGTTCTTTGGGCTAAACCTAGGGTTACCATGTACCAGAGTTTTCCTGGACATGTCCTCTTTTTGGATCCTCCAGTCTCCATCAGGGCGATTTTTTGAAATCTGAACCAATGTCTGGGATTTTGCTCTGCTCCGTGCTGGGAGCATGAGGAGGAAGATTGGAGGCAGGGGGCATCATGTGCTCCTGCATGTGTACATGCATGTGGCTGACATGCAGCCAGGCAGGGTCATAGGAGCAGCCCCAGCAGCTGGATGCATGCAATAAGTCTATTGCAGGGCCAGAGCTTGGGGACTGTCCGGGAAGCTGCAGAGGTGTGTGTGGCAGGGTGGGGTTTATAAGAGGGGATGAGGGGATGGGTGTATGAGAGGGGCTGGTGCCTGCTGGCACTGGGGAAAGGTGTCCTGGTGCGGGGGCTACAGCAGGGCAGGGGGGGGGGGGAAGGAGGAA